CCCCAAAACCCCAAAACCCCAAAACCCCGCAAACTAAAAAATACTAATATTTTACAATATAATTTTTTAAGTGATAGTAAAAATAACAAGGTTAAATATTTTGATTCATTATACTTTAGTGCAGTTAGAATAGTAATGGTTCTTTGAATGCTGGCTAATTGATCTAGAATTTTATTCAAATTTTTAATGAACAAAAGCACTATTCTATATTATGTGATTCCTCAATGATTATGAACTTGGTAATCTTAATGTGGATGCCTAAGGAATGTATTTTTACTGAGGTTTTACAAGTAATGACTTGTCACTAATTGTAGAATTTGATTGACAGTTAGTCATAAATTGAGAATTTTTATTATTCTAAAATCTGTTACTGTATTGAGAAATAAATTGTGTTCTCTGGGTGTTAGAGGTAATTGCATCTTAATAATACTCTTTTGCTTCTTTCAAGGCATCCCTTTTATGACTGATTAAATTTCTCCTGAGAATAAGAGAAGACTTTTGGTTTGCTAATGCCTTTTATTATCCTAAATCAATTAGATTCATTGATTTTTAATCATTCTACTTGGTTATTAATTGACTTTTTCTCTTTTTTTCTACATAAAATGATTTTGATAAAAACTTGGCTTGCTCTGTTGATTCTAATAATTTTACATTACTTTTATTATTTTAACCATATTAATTTTGCGAGATATTATCAATTGTTTTGAATGACATTTCCAAACTACTTTCTTCAAATGAATTCTAATTCATTACAAAGTTGTTTTAGTTTCTAGATATGAATGTTGCATTATTTTAACTAAAGTATTAGTCTTTAAATGTTGGTTCTTGAATAGATTTAAGTTATTTTAAAACAATCTTGCCAGGATTTATAATGTTTCCATAGAATTAAATCTTCTTTTGTTCAACTTAATTATTCCTAAAGAGTCTTGTCTATCTTCTCTTAACAGCATTGTTTTCAATTACTTTGTTTAATTTGCGAGATGGTATTGATTCACCCCAAAATGTTGTTTTAAATAAATCAATATCTTTGACTTCATTTTCTTATACTTATTCCTTCTTGCTTAACATTATTTACTCTCTTAGATTATTTTATTATATTTTCTAACTCTAATTAACTACTTTCCAAACATTTAATTACTTTTAAACTGTAGTTTCCTAAATGTATCTCCAAGTCTCCTCATTAGTTTTTACTCTCTAGATAAAATCATTTATTTTCATGCAATATAAAATTCCAAAATTTGAGAAACAATTCATCGAGGTTGAGTAATCAGTTTGTTTCACAAAATCATCTTCACCTATCATATTACCTTTGCCCACAATAGATATTCACTAGAAATGAGTCTGTGGAGCTTTTTAAATTGAAAATAAATTGTTTCTGTCAGATTTTCTTTGATTAGGGGAATCAATTTGTGGACCTAAGTAATCTGAAATTTTGGTTTCTTCCTCATTTTATACTTTAACCTGCTTAAATATCTCAAATTCTCCCTCTAAAACAATATATACATACTCACATTCATCCCCCTCTTTAAATACTACTTAGTTTCACTTAAATTTTTACTTTACTAAGTAGTAAGTAAGTTTTGATAGTGCATTTTTCATCCATGAATTAAACTAAGGTAAGGATTTTAAAAACAGTACAATCTTATTCATGTTTGCTTCTTCGTGTCTACCAAGGATCTACTCATAATCTTTTTTGAACAACACAAGGAAATGAGTATCAGTTATACATTTAATAGTTGCAGCCCTTGGCTTATTTGATATTAATGCTAATTCTCCGAAACTTTAGCCCTATTTTAATTATGCTACCTCAAGTAAAACTGTTTACACTTAACCTCCATTCTGACTTTTTTTATTTGAGTCTTGAATTTATAAGCTAAGATCTTCTGAATCATTTTATTTCGAAGATTTTATTCTACTAAATTCAGGTTATGTGTATTTTCTATGTTATGAAATACCAGAGAGAATTCTTGCTATTGCTCTAACACTGTTCCTCATCTTATTCTTCCTTTATAATGCTTATCTACTCAGTAAAGATAATGTTTCATAGTCAGGATTAATAAAGTCATCATCCTCTTTAATTTCATCTAAATTCTTTTCCCTTCTCTTAGGAACAAGCACCTAAACTTAACCATCTAGAATAATATAGAATTTATCTCCATAATCGCCATGTTGAAAGACATTTTTATTTGAGTGGAAAAACTCATACTTTGCTCTTTCGCATAAAAATATGAAGTCAGATTCTTTCATCTCTTTTCTTTCTTTGAAAAACTTAATTTATTGAAGAAAAGGTAAAAGTATCTACGCATCAGAGTCTCTTCTTAATTCAGGTTTCTTCCTTAGAATGCCTATTGCATTCTATAGTATTAAATGTTTTATAATTACCAATATATTCTTGTCTAATTCCAAAGCCATTCTCCAAATTTATTTTTATTGTTTTATTAAGTCTTTTATTGGAGTCATACAATCTAATTGGGGTTTTGGGGTTTTGGGGTTTTGGGG